GGTGGAGAAGAGTAAAGTTAGCTCTGTCACAAGTATGAAAACAGCATTTGGATGGATTTTCATGCAGTTGCTAAGCCACACCAATTTAGAGGCCCCTGAGAGAAAGATGTAAATTTTGCCTCCTTGGCCTGGTATCCAGGCTGACACGCTTGGTGTGTCCCCACAGGATCCAAGAACTTTCCAGACAGAACTGGGCTCACTAGATCTCTCCTACAGAGCAAATGTGATGGAAGAGACTTTATTGTTACTGTGAATTTCCCTGTGAGTGTGGGACACCTCTGAATGGGCAGGGCCTCGGGAACTTTCCACTGAAAAACGACCTCCAAGCAAGTGCTTTCAAGCAGTGTGTGGCTCTCAACACGCAGGAGGCTGGGAAAGCCATCTCCCTTGGAGGAAGGAAAGACATCCACAGTGAGTGTGTTTTCAGGCCTCTATCTTGCACCAACTGTATCGCTTCTCAGACGTCAGACCTCCAGGCCTGCTTCGAGGGGCCTATATTAGAGTCAGACCCATGTGTCACCCTGCACTTACCAAGCCTTGCAAACACATTCCTAGGTCATAGCGGTACAGGCCATGAGAAAGCAGTGTGTGGGAGTGTGCTGAAAATGCTGGGTGCCATACTGTGGTCACCTCATCAAGGTCACCTTGCACCTCAAAAGGGCTGCAGGAGAGGAGTTGGGGGCCACCCCTTGCTTCAGAAATCCCCAAGGGGGAGCAAAGCTAGCTCTGTCATAAGGAAGAAAACAGCAATTGGATGGATTATCAAGAAGTTGCTGGGCCGCACCGTGTTAGGGCTCCCTGAGAGAAAAATGTGAATTTTGTCCCCTAGGCCTGGAATACTGGTTGAAACAGGGTGTGTCCACACAGGATCCAAGAATGGTCCAGACAAACCTAGGCTCACTAGATCTATCTTGCAGAGGAAATCTGATGGAACAGACATTTGGATGTTGATTTGACTTTCCCTGTGAGTGTGGGACCCTTCCCAAAGGGCAGAGCCTCAGGGCCCATTGCCACTGAAAAATGACCTCCAAGCAAGTGACTGCCAGCAGTGTTTGACTCCTAACAGGCAGGAGGCTGGGAAAGCTATCTTCCTTTGAGGAAGGAAAGGCATCCACAGAGTGTGTTTTCAGGCCTCTACCTTGCAGCCAAGTATTTCACTTCTCAGACATCAGACCTCCAGGCCTGCTCCGAGGGCCTAATTCCAGAGTCAGGGCCATGTGCCTCCCTGTGACTGCCAAGCCTTGCAAACACATTCCTATGTCATAGTCATACTGCCCATGAGGAAGCAGGCTACAGGAGTGTGTCTGACGGGGCCGGGTGCCATTCTGTGTTCACGTCGAGGTCACCTTGTACCTCAGAAGGGTAACAGGCAAGGGGTTTCGGTCTGATCCCTTGCTTCAGAAATCTGAAAGGCGGGGGGGGGGCGGGGGGGGGGGCGGGGGCGGGTAAAGCTAGCTCTCTCAGAAGGAAGAAAACAGCAATTGGATGGATTATTAAGAACTTGCTAGGCCTCACCACATTAGAGCTCCTTGAGAGCAAAATGTGAATTCTGTCCCCAAGGCCCAGTATCCAGGTTGACATACAGGGTGTCCCCCCACAGGATCCAATAATATTCCAGACAGACCTAGGCTCACTAGATCTCTTCCGCAGAGGAAATGTGATGGAACAGACTTTGGATGTCACTTTGACTTTACCTGTGAGTGTGGGACCCCTCCCTAGAGGCAGGGTTCTGGGGCCATTGCCACTTAAAAATGACCTCCAACCAAGTACTTTCAAGCAGTGTGTGACCCTCAGCATGCAGGAGGCTGGGAAAGCCATCTTCCTTCAAGAAAGGCAAGGCATCCACAGAGAGTGTGCTTTCAGGCCTCTATCTTGCAGCAAGTGTTTCGCTTCTCAGATGTCAGACCTCTAGGCCTGCTCCAAGGGCCTAAATTATGGAGTCAGGGCTGTGTATCTCCCTGCACTTTCTGAGCCTTGCAAACACATTCCTAGTTCAGAGTGGTCCGGCCCATGAAGAAGCAGGCTCCAGGTGTGTGTCTGAGAGGGCCAGGTTCCATACTGTGATCACCTGGTCGAGGTCACCCTGCACCTCAAATGGGCCCCCAGGGAGGAGTTGGGGGCCGCCCCCTTGCCTCAGAAATCCCAAAGGGGGGAGCAAAGCTAGCTCTGTCAGAAGGAAGAAAACAGCAATTGGATGAATTTTCAAGCAGTTGCTAGGCCACACCACACTAGGGCTCCCAGAGAGAAAAACGTGAATTTTGCCCCCTAGGACCGGTATCCAGCTTGACACACAGGGTGTGTCCCTGTAGGATCCAAGAATGCTCCAGACAATCCTAGACTCATTAAATCTCTCCTGCAGGGGACACATGATGGGACAGACCTTTGGATGTTGCTCTGACTTTCCCTGTGAGTGTGGGTCTCCTCCCCAGGTGCAGGGCCTCAGGGGCCACTGTCACTCAGAAATGACCTCCAAGCAATGCTCACAAGCAGCGTGTGACTCTCAGCACGCAGGAGGCTGGGAAAGCTGTCTTCTTCTGAGGAAGAAAAGGCATCCACAGAGAGTGTGTTTTCAGGCCTCTATCTTACAGCAACCGTTTCATGTCTCAGACATCAGACCTCTAGGCCTGCTCCAAGGCCCTAAATTCCAGAGTCAGGGTCATGCGTCTGCCTGAATTTTCCAAACCTTGTAAACACATTCTTAGGTCATAGCAGTACTGCCCATGAAGATGCAGACTGCAGGAAGGTTACCTTGCTCCTCAAATTGGCCCCAGGCGAGGAGTTGTGGGCCACCCCTTTGCTTCAGAAATCTAAAAGGGGAGAGCAAAGGTAACTCTGTCAGAAGGAAGAAAAGAGCAATTGGAAGGACTTTCAAGCATTTACTAGGCCGCACTTCATTAGGGCTCCCCAAGAGAAAAATGTGAATTTTGCCCCCTAGGACTAGTATCCAGCTTGACACATAGAGTGTGTCCCCATAGGATCCAAGAATGTCCCAGACAGACCTAGTCTCGCTAGATCTCTCCTGCAGAGGAAACGTGATGGAACAGACGTTTGGACGTTGCTCTGACTTTCCCTTTGAGTGTGGGACCCCTCCCTAGGCACCGGGGCTCAGGGGCCACTGCCACTGACAAATGACCTCCAAGCAAGCGCTTTCCAGCCGTGTGTGACTCTCAGCCCACAGGCGGCTGGGGAAGCTATCTTCCTTGGAGCCAGGAAAGGCAGCCCCAGAGAGTGTTTTCAGGCCTCTATCTTAGAGCAAGTGTTTCACTTCTCAGATGTCAGACCTCCAGGCCTGATCCAAGGGCCTAAATTGCAAAGTCAGAGCTGCGTGTCTCCCTGCACTTTTCGAGCCTTGCAAACACATTCCTAGGTCAGAGCAGTACTGCCCATGAGGAAGCAGGCTGTGGGAGCGTGTCTGAGAGGGCCAGGTTCCATACTGTGGTCACCTGGTCGAGGTCACCTTGCACCTCAAATGGACCACAGGCGAGGTGTTTTGTGTTGCCCCCTTGCTTCAGAAATCCCAAAGCGGGGAGCAAAGCTAGCTCTGTCAGAAGGAAGGAAACAGCAATTTGATGGATTTTCAAGCAGTTGCTAGGCCGCATCACGTTAGGGCTCCCTGAGAGAAAAATGCAAATTTTGCCCCCTAGGTCTGGTATTCAGCTTGACACACAGAGTGTATCCCCGTAGGATTCAAGAATGTTCCAGACAGACCTAGGCTCATTAGCTCTCCGTTGCAGAGGAAACTAACACAAAATTGGAAATCAACTATATTCCAATATAAAAGAAATATCAAATTTAAAAAATGAGGTTGCTCCCATGCCTTCAAGGAGCCTCAAATACCTGGCCTAGAGCTGCCTTCGGAATGCAGCCTCTACAACCCTGTCCCTGACTCCCTCCATCCCTGCTGCTCACAAATCCTGCCATCCTTCAGTTTTAGTGGACAAGCGTGTATCTAAATGATAGTAACTGACCCTTAAAATGAGAATTATCAACAAATCGCTTGCAAAAATGTTCTAAGTAAATCATAGATAGCAGATGGAAGATTAAATCAGGAAGAGTTTGGGTAAAGCTCACCACTTGAGTTCCAAATTATGATTTTATTAGAAGTAGATGCCTGAAAACAGTTGAGAGGCTATAAAAATAAAGTATTCAATGATGAAATGTTTCCCAAATTAATTCAAATTGACATGAATAAAAATAAAACTATCCCAACAAATATGAAAAATACCTCCAGTACACACCACCACTTGCTAGCTTTAAAAAATATACATCTGATACCTAACCTATACAGCTGCCCTACAATAAAAGCCTTAGCTCTGTACATATTTAAACAGATTAAATTTTGTAAAAAGTTTTTTTCTTGAGAATATGTTACTGTTCTAACATCTTAATAGTCTATTATAAGAATTAAACCTATTGACAGCTGCACTAAGCACTTCTACAAAAACATCAGTTAACTCATTAGCTATAACGACTCTGGGAAGGAAGAAGCTAGAAATATAAGTAAGCATCAGACCACGGCCCCTTCTCTGGTGCAAACACATCAACACAGAATAAGCCTCTTACTTCATTCACGGTGCATACACGGATGGTGATAGGTAAAACTTGGATAGCTCTTCTTAGACAACCATGAGATTATTTGCTGCTTCCATAACTTTCAATACCTTTTTGTAATGTCTCAAATAGTAAGATAGGGTGAAAGACAATGAAAAACACTTATTAATTATCACTAAATACATATGATGTCATATCTATCACTGTTTTCAAAAGTTCCTTGTACTAAAATAGGACCCTACATAGAGCAAAGTGTTAATTTCCTCACAAGAATGACACCCAAAATATGGTCTCTGAACTGCCTGTACTTTTCCTCCTTACCACCAGTGGAAGTGATAAACTACCCTAATGATTTATCAAGGAAGTGAAATCATTACCAAAAGTTAAGAGTATCTATTGTTAGTAGCAAGAGGTATTTTTTTTTGGGGGGGATGGGGCAGGCAGAACTTTTATAAGTTTATTTTGAAGAAGTTACTTTTTAAAGTGTTCAAAAATGTTTTTACAACTGATCTTGCAGTTTTCACAAACTGGAAAACTGTAAATGACATGCAAAGGCCGTTGACAGGGCGCTGGTTACAGAAATGAGAGTGGAGCCAGGAGCAGACTCTGACTGAGACACGGAAGGTGAGGACGGGCATGGAGTGGCGCACACGCACCCCCAGAGCAGAGGGACTCGGGTGTGCAGCGCAGTCGATGGTGGAGCACACGCAGTCTTCCTGGCCTAAAGCGCATTCAGAGGAGGGTGCCTGCTCCTCTGATATAGTTGCAATAATTTTGAGATCAATTCCTATGGAAAATATTAAAGGCCTCTCCTTGGATGAGGTCATCATATGTCCCTACCTGACTGCTGTAGACAAATGGATCTGAATTACAAATATTACTTTATCTGGCACATGAAAAATGTCATTCCTCCTCAAAATGTAGATGTATAGGTTTTCACAAGCCTCTACATTTTCTATGGTACATACTCTTCGTTTATAAAATACATACATACACAGATACATACACACACATAAATGAATACAGAAAATACCTAAGAGTTCATTTCCTTATCAGCTGTTTCTTTCTGCTTTTGTTTGGCAAGGTGATTGGCCAGGATTCCTTCCTGTAAGATTCTGGCATTCCGTTCTCCAGAAAGCTGGTTCTGAGCATCATGTCACTCTTCCATAACCTGGAGAGACACTATATGAAGCTTTTGGGCCCATATCATTAAAAGAAAAAAAAAAGTTAAAAGCTTAGAAGCAGAATATAAAATATATAAAACTGTTTAAAGGAAGTAGCCTTTTCAAGCACAAGGATCTTTTTCTCACATGATTAACTTGGATCTTAATTTAAATGTCTGCTAAATTTATCACATAGCAAAAGCATGAAGATATATTATTGTGAAAGGAAATTTCTTTACAAAGCATTTAACTAGTTCCTTCACAGTCTCAAGGCAAGTTAGACTGTATTTTAACATTTAAAAAGCCAAAATTAATACATGGATTGGAATTAAAGAGATTATTTTGTCTAATGTATCAAAAGTGCCAATCATTATGTTAATAATAAAGCTCAAGTTATATCCAATCCTCCACTCAGAAAACACATACAGAGCATCTATTAGAAGCCAAGAATAGCAAGAAACTAATCACTTAAACTACGAATGTCACAGTTCATACCTAGGTAGAGATAACATTTTGTTTGAAATTTAAATAATACATATTAAATAAATGGGATATTATAGATAATATTGATGAAATGGTGTTAGAAATTTGAAATTTTCACCAATGATTACTCTACCTGATTCAGATCATTTCTCAGTCTTCAGTTCCATCTAGTGCTCTGAGAGTGAGTTCAAGTTGCTGTTTCATTTTAGCTTCTTTACTATATTGGTCTTCCTTTCTTCTTAACTGCTCCCTAATTTTTTCATATAACATATCAGCATTTCTTCTATTCTCTTCTTCTTGCTTTAACGTCAATCTGCAAAATTTATAGAGCTCTTCTTAAAAAAAAAAAAAAATGAGACTATTCACTGCTGCAGTAACTTTCATTCCCTCGTCACAATGTTTAAAATAGTAAAATGGGGGGAAATACAGTGAAGAACACTTAATAATGATCACTGTTTTCATGCAGAGGGTTAAGAATAAAACAGCATAAATATTTTTTTCTGTCTTGAGAAAAATGGCTACTTCATACTTCTGTGGGTGGAAATGAAAAGTAATCTAAACTTTCTAAAGAATAGTTTAGAAATATGGATCAAAGACCGTTTCTAAACGTTCTTATACTTTAACCAAATAATACACTATTATTAAAGAAAATGAATTCAAAATAATTAGAAATGTAGAAATGAATCTATAGAAAAGATGTTCCTTGTAGGATTAAACATAACACAGAAAAGTGAAAAACAATCAAAAGTCAATCTGTTGAATTGTGAATGAGGTTTCCGTTATGGTGGACTCCTGTATGATCATGAAAATGATGATTTGGAAAAATACACATTAAGTCATTAGAAGCATTCACTGTTAGGAACTTAGATTATTTCCATGAATTTCACACTCCACAATACTAACGACGTATTCTCCCCTGTAAAATCCCAGAGGGTAAGTTAAAAATTATAACACAGCTACGTCTCTGCAGTATTAAAGTAAATAACAGTTCATATATTGCTTTAAAACTAGGAGGTGCAGTATCTCAAGCTGCCAAGCTCTCGTTGCCACTCCACTTCCAGTTTTTTAATTTCTCCTTTAAGTAGTTCACAGTGGCTTTTTTAAAGTTCTATTTATCTTTCACACGAAACAATTGCATCCCGAATTTTCAACAAGCTAACACAATCTGCAACAAGAAGAAAACACATAGAAACAAGAAACACATTGATATGACTAATTTTTGAGTATAAAGGACTGTGCCTTTCATGTCCACTCCTCCATACACTGAGCAAATATTGAGTGTCTATCAAGTGGAAGACATTATTCTAAGCTCTCCAGATAAAACAGATGACCCTGGCTCTTGTTTAGCTTGCAGTCTAATAGAAGAGAAAGAAAAATAAAATAATGAAATATATATATACATAAAATTATAAATTCAGGTACAGTAAGAATGATCATAGGCTCAGCGTATACACTCACTTTCACTTTTAATACAAAACATATTTATAAGATGCACAGCACTGTAATATATCCATAGCTCTAGAGCAGTACTAGACAAGGTGAGCATGTATTACTACACTATACACAAACAGGCTTTGTATTGATATTTACACCACGGTCCTACCTTTATACCTCAAGCCAAGCGGTTCTACTTGCAATGTGGAAATCTTAGGAGTAAAGACATCACCATCCTGGGAAGCACTTTCAGATGACTGAGTTCAGTCATTCAGGTAGCTCATGTCATTAATCTGTGCTTTGACCTACATATAAACAATACTGTTTCACAATGTCCTTAAAAGATTTATAAAATATATTAACTGTACAAAGGTGATAAATAGTTCACCATTAAATGAAAAATAGAGACACTTCTTAAAAGGACAGATTTTTATCAAAACGATAATTTGATCAATAGTGCTTCTAAATTAAGTTCTCAAAGTGTATGTCTCTACAACATATGAAGATTTTGTTTTGACACTATTCCTTTTACAAAATATTTTTTACTAGAATAATATTTTTTATAATTAACTTTTTTTATTATACCTTATTCTTTTCATTAGATGTTTTCTTTGCAGCCCTAAAATAACAAATGATTCAAATACTTAAAAATACAAACAATATCTAAACTTTGGCTTTTTACATAAAACCTTTGCACTGGGAAGTTAATTTTTTACTAAAGGATTAAACAATAAAGAAGAGTAGCATTAATGGACAAAGAAAATATATGAATAATACTAATAAAGCATTGAATTTAGATCAAAGGAAAAGGAAAAATATAACATTACTTGTGTTATTTGATAGGAAGCAGTATACCAGGGTTTTTGGCAGTTGTCATTTTCAATAAGAACTACCTTTTATGGCAATAAAACCTATCTTGGAGTATTGCTTAATTCCTTATAAGAAAGAAACCCACTTTTAAGAAAACCATAATAACCATGACATTAGCCTTCTGAGGACTTCCTATGCAACTGCTATGCATTATGATGAGCACTTGCCACATCTGAAGGCACTTTTGAACCTCACAGTGCTTCTCGAAGAGAGGTAACGCATGAGGCCCTCTACACGGGGAAAGATGGGGCACAGAGAGGCTGAGCGCCGTGCCCAAGCCCGCAGCGGGTCACCAGCAGACCCAGAATTCAGACCCAGGAAGTCTGGCCTCAACACTGCGGCTCAAAGCATGCTGAGAAAGTGAGATTTAAGTAAGTCTTTCCAAGTAATACGATAGCAAGTGAATCTATATTATTATTCCATGCCTACCAACAGCTATAAATGATGATTTCTGAATCTTAGCATATTTCTAAAAAAATCAAACATCTGTCCATGTAGGCAATATTGGAAATCTACTTGCAATAAAGACTTGCTTTTAGTAAAGAAATTCATCAATAGGCACTCATGTAACCATTCTGCTCTTTCTTCATGCATCTGACATGCGCTTATTGAGCACACAAGATGTGTTAATGACACTCTTAGTATGGGAAGCATGGTTTTAGTAATTTAGAACTTTATGATCCAAAAATAATAATTAATGAAAGATTGTCAATAGCTTTTTCTACTGAATATAAGCAAAAATTTCCCCTTTTCCCAGGAATCTATAAACAATATGAAGTTAATATGATGTGATGTTTCAGAGTACCTTACAAAACCGTAGCTACCCACGATGATACAATCATCCAGAATCACCAAGGGATGATTAAATCCTATTCAGTATAGCCTAAGTGTTTGTATATTCATGATTCTATAATTTTTAAAAATCTATGTATGATAGAATTAATTGAAGCAACCATCCACATATTCAATTACATAAGAATATTACACTTCAGAACCAATGAACAAGCCCTTACCACAAAACTATATATGAACAGAAGTATTGTGTACAACTAGTTCACTGTAATCGTTTAAAGATAATGTCATACAACCAATAAGCTTTCTAACATTAGAAATGGAAACAAGATTCAACTCAATAAACGCGTCCTCTGCTGGCTCATTTCTAGCAGCATATATACGCTAAAAACTCCCCTCTGAATATAAAATAGGAAACTCCTCTGAACTCCCTACTCTTCTTCAGTTACCATCCAGTTCTCCACTGCCTGTCCCAGGAAATAGTGCCTGTGCAGCTGTTTACGTGTATCTGCTACAGTTCAGCTGCCAAGGGGACGAGTCACTGAAACCACTTCTGGCCAAAGGCACTCATCCTCACCTTACCCTTCTTCAGTTAGGTGAAAAATAACTTGCATTACCCGAAAATAGGAGAAAAACATGAACTCAAAACCCAATTTTGTCCCTGTTTGTTCGAATTAATTCATGTATATTAAATCTACCAAAAATGAATTAGGAGATGATTTTTAATGTTATAAATGCTGGCTTCCCTTAAAAATATTTCCTCTCACTGTATCTTAAACAGGGAGTCCCTACAGCACATTTGAAAGCTTTTTTTTTTTTTTAAAGAACTAATATCTGGAGAACAGACAAACTTTATATTACGAGGAGCCAAAATCTATTAACACCAATCAGAAAGAGAAACCAATTCCTAAATTAATGCAAATTATATACAATGATAATGTTATACATTAATACATATTACCTGCTTAAATTCAGTTATGTGTGTACTCAGACCTGTCTGATTCTTTGCATCCCCTAGGACTGTAGCCTGCCCAGATCCTCTGTCCATGGGAACTCTCCAGCCAAGAACATGGAGTGGGTTGCCACAA